ACTCCAATCTGGGTGACAGAGTGAGACTCCAACTCAAAAAAAAAAAAAAGATAATAAATATAGATACACAGAGATAGCAGAACTGTTTTTACTCACATTTCTGACACCAAATGTGTGGGCTTTATCCTCCTCTCAAAAAACAGTTTTCTAATTCTCTGGACGCCAACTGGGTCTTCTACAACGTAATTCACTTCTAACACTAACTTCTTGGAGTTAGCACAGACCCCACAGGTTAAGGGTTTAGGCACACAAGACTGCCCCAGCTTCAGATGCCAGTTGCAAGTCCCAGGTTTCCACCTGTACTTCTGACCAACCAGCTATACGTCAGGGACTCCCCATGAAGGGGATCAAAACACACTGCCTCCAAATATGCCACTTCAGCATATTGCTTATTTTGAGCTGAAGGTATCTGGGAAGCAGCATGTACTCTCTGGGATGCAGGAAGTGCTCTCTGACCTATCCCTTTCTACCAAGCAGGGCATAAACTTCCCATGAAAAAGGTGAACACCCTGTATCAGAATGGGGTGAGCATTCTTGCTACCACAAATGAAGAGCTCATGCTGAGATGAATCTATACAAACCTACAACTAAAATGATCCATTAGTTTCCCCTCTGTATTTCTTAGCCACCTTCCCACAGTTTACCGCCCCTAGCCCAGACCCCTTTGCTGTTGTCTTGTTATGGCTCTACAACCAATTTATCATTCTCTGAAATGGCATATAAGCTGTCAGGCTTATCTGCTTCTTTGGGTCTTCATGTCTCTTCCATGAAGGTTCCCATGCCATGTACAAATGTTAACATCAAATAAAATGTGCTTTTCTCTTGCTAATCTGCCCTCTGTCAGTTTAATCCTCAGGGCCAGCTGCAGAACCTAAGAGGTGGCAGAAAAGTCTTTCCGGCTGGCCTCGGTGGCTCAGCCTATAATCCCAGCACTTTGGGAGGCCGAGGCGAGTGGATTGCCTGAGCCTGTGGGTTCAAGACCAGCCCGGGCAACTTGGCAAGACCTCATCTCTACAATAAATCAAAAATTAGCCGGGCCTGGTGGCACGCGCCTGTAGTTCCGGCTGCTTGGAAGGCGGAGGCAGAAGGGTTGCTGGAGCCCAGCAGGCTGATGCTGGGGTGACCGTGAGTGTGCCACTGCACTCCAGCCTGGGGGATGGAGTGAGAATTCAACTCAAAAAAAAAAAAAAAAAAAGTCTTTCCTCCCCTACACCACAATGCCCTCCTCAGGTTCAATAATTTGCAAGAACAACTCCCGGATCTCAGGAAAGTGCTTTACGTACTATTACCCATTTATTATAAAGGATACGACTGAGGAGCAGGAAATGAAAGAGATGCATGGGGTGGGGTGTCAGGGCAGGGGTGCAGAGCCTCCATGCCCTGGCTGGGTGCACCACCCTCCAGGTAACTGATGTGCTCACCAAGCTCTCCGAGCCCCACAGTTCAAGAGTTCTCACGGAGCGTTCCTCGGGTAGACATGCTTGACCAAGTCCCTGGCCATGGGTGACTGCCTCAACGCCCAGTCCCTCTCCTCTTCTTGGAGGTTGGGGCTGGGAGCAGGGGAGGCTGAATGCTCTGACTCTCTAACCACACGGTTGGTTCCTCTGGCAACCATGTCCCATCCTGAAGAGACCCACCAAGGGTTACTACCTCGTTAGCATAAACTCAGGTATGGTTGAAAGGAGCTGGTTTCAAATAACAGTGTTCCTGCCACCGTATCACTCAGGAAATTCCAAGGGTGTTGGAAGCTCTGGGTCAGGATCCAAGGGCAGAAACCAAATGCATATTCTCTATTGTATCACCATATACATACAATAAGACCATGAAAATAAACAGTGTATTTCTGAACTATATATTGTATTCTATATTTATTCATTCGTCCTTGGATTTTTAAAACTTTTTCACAGGAATAGCCTAGAAAAAGCTCAAAAATATGAAACCTAAAGGCATCGGACACTGAGGGCTCTCAGGACAAGCTCTCAAGTGACGACTCCTTCCATGTAGGTGCGTATCATCACAGTTCTTGGGCGGTGACAAGGATCTTCTCCTTGACCAAGTTCGACTCAGGCACCCCGAATGTGACAACTGGCCCTCGACTTCGCACTTCCGTGTTCTCTTCTGCATTGTCCCATCTTAGCAAGAGTCCTCCCAAATTGATTTAGCCAGAACCCCTCATCCTCCAGACACGATTGCTCTCTGTCGATCAGGGTCCTCACCCCCACCGTCCTCAGGGGATGTCTGACCATCCTGGCCTGTCTTCAGCAAGAATCCTGTTAGGTCGATGCAGGCAGAATCACCCCTCACTCACTGCCCTCTTCCTGACGTTTCCTCTTAGTAGTGTTCTGTCCACTGACCCCCATCCTGCTCATTGCCTGTAAATCCCCACTTGCCCAGGCTGTATACAGAATTGAGCCCAGTTCTATACTGAGGTCTCTTTTCCCCTATTGCAACAAACCTACATAAAATCTGTTTTAGGCCAGGCATGGTGGATCACGCCTGTAATCCCAGCACTTTGGAAGGCCAAGGCGGGAGGATCACCTGAGTCCGGGAGGTAGAGACCAGACTGGGCAACAAAGGGAGACTTCATCTCTGCCAAAAAAAAGATAAAAAAAATTAGCCAGACATGGTGTGCATGCCTGTAGTCCCAGCTATTTGGGAGGCTGAAGCAGAAGAATTGCCTGAGCCCAGGAGGTAGAGGCTGCAGTGAACTGTGATCATGCCACTGCACTCTAGCCTGGGCAACAGGGTGAGACTCTATACCAAAAAAGAAAACAAAAAAAGAAAGAAAGGAAGAAAAGAAATATATTACATACCTTCTTTGTTGTTTGCTTTAGCATGATGAAATGGAAATTTCCTGATACCTCTTGACTTCTCACCTTCTTTTTTCAAAGCCGTTGAATAAGTGATACGAATATGTTGATTGGTTTCTCTGTCTGGCGAACTCAAAAATTCTGGATAATCATCAATCTGGAAAAAAAAAAGCCTCACTGAGTTCACTGAAGACAAATATACCTGCCTACCTGTTCTGGGATCATAAACTCCCAGAGTCAAGGGCAGGTTTTTGTTTTTGTTTTTGTTTTTAAGTTTTCAAACCAGGTTTATTTAGAAAATAAATGAAAGCCAGCCTTGGTGGCTCAGCCTGTAATCCTGTGCCTTTGGGAGGCTGAAATGAGTGGATTGCCTGAGCCCACGGAAGGATCACCAGAGCCCAGCAGGTCGAGGCTGTGGTGGCCGGGAGCGGCCACTGCACTCCATTTTGGGTGACAGAGTGAGACTCCAACTCAAAAAAAAAAAAAAAAAAAAAAAAAGATCCTAATTCTTGGCAGGGTGCAGTGGCTCAAGCCTATAATCCCAGCACTTGGTAGGTCAGGGCAAGAGGATTGCCTGAGCCTGTGGGCTCGAGACCCGCCTGGGCAACATGGTGAGATCTCGTCTCTACAATAAATAAAAAAATTAGCCAGGTGTGATAGTGCGCACCTGTGGTTCCAACTACTTGGAAGGCTGAGGCTGAAGGAATGCCTGGGCCCAGCAGGTCGAGGCTGCGGTGGCCGTGAGCATGCCACTGCACTTCAACCTGGGCGACAGAGTGAGACTCCAACTCAAAAAAAAAAAAAAAAAAGATCCTGATTCTTGAGGCCAGGCTTTCCCCAGTACTAAGATGGGGAAAGGAAAAAAATTAAAGGTTCAGAAATATCAAACATAGGACCTACCATTCACTGAGCACTCACAACATGCTCGTTTGGGTGTTACCCTAATGAATCCTCATATAATCCCATGTGTTTTTAACACTGTTCCCATATTACAGGGAAGACAAGGAGCCCAGAGCTCAGAGAGTTAGGTTACTTGCCTGATATACCATAGCTAGTGAGCAGCAGGCAGAGATTCAAAATGAAGCCTGTGCTCTTTTAAAAAAAAATTTAACTTTAGAAACAGGATAGTACAATGGTGCTATCATAGCTATCTGCAGCCTCCAACTTCTGGGCTCAGGTGATCCTCCTATCTCAGCCTCCCAGTAGCTGGAACTACAGGTATGCCATTATACCCGGCTATTTGTTTTTTGGAAAGTAGGTCTCACTAAGTTGCCCAAGCTGGTCTCAAACTCCTGGCTTCAAGCATAATTCTACCTTAGCCTTCCGAAGTGCTGAGATTACACGCATAGGCTACCATTACCAGTCCTGTGCTTTTCACTTATACAAAATGACACACAAAATATAAAGCATAGAGCTGTCAAGAAAGTAGGATACTGAAAGTCTAAAAATAAAATAGCTTCTATTATGAGACAGGACAGTGATACAATAAAGTGAACTTTTGTAGTCTCACTATGAGACAGTGCGCAAGGAACACGACTGTTATGATAATGAATGTCACTCAGCCCTCAAAAATTCCAAGTCTCCTAACTACCCATTTCACTCTGGTGGCTCTTGTTTCCTCTGCATTCTCACAACTCATCTACATACAGAGTTCCTATCACAGGTCTGACATCAAAGAGGGGCTGATACATGAAAGAGAACCTCAGATTATGAAAACGTGAACCTAACACAAAACCATGTACACAGGCCAGGATCGAGATCCCTTGGAATTCAGGTTTCTGAGTGGACAGTATTGAAGTGTTCTAAAGAAAAGCCACCAGACAGGCAGCACTCTAATTAACAAGTATAAATTATTTTCATTAAATTCTTACAGACCAATTCATTGTTTTGTGCCCTAATTATTAAGCACTTTATCACTAAACTAGGTAAATCAAAGACGACATCTTGACAGAAACATGAAACGGTAGGAAAACATTATGGACCAGTAGTCGGGAAATATGATTTCTGGTGTGGTCCCCACTACTAACTAGCAGGGTGACTTTGATCAAGTAACTTAATCTCTTTGGCTTTGATTTTCTCATGTGTAACTTGAGAAAGGTGGGCTAGGTTTAAGGTCTCTTTCAGCTTGAACAAGGTAGCTGAAAACAAAACTAGTATAATTTTGTGAAATTCACAGTTAATTGTGCTAATGATTATGTTTCAGGAAATGTTTTTATATGATCAGGAAGAACCAGACGAGCGTCTTTGCAAAGACACAAGAGCATCTGCAGATACCTGTTTTGAAGAGGAGTGTTTATCTGCATAAATATGTAATTATCTATGCATTTCGTTAAGAACACTGATGAATCGGCCGGGCTCGGTGGCTCAACCTGTTATCCCAGCACTTTGGGAGGCTGAGGCGAATGGATTGCCTGAGCCTGTGGGTTCGAGACCAGTCTGGGCAACTAGGCGAGACCTCGTCTCTAGAATAAATCAAAAATTAGCCGGGCGTGGTGGCACATGCCTTTAGTTCCGGCTACTTGGAAGGCTGAGGCAGAAGGGTTGCCAGAGCCCAGCAAGTCGATGCCAGGGTGGCCGTGAGCATGTCACTGCACTCCAGCCTGGGTGACAGTGAGACTCCAACTCAAAACAAAACGAGAAACAAAAAAACAAAAAAAAAAGATACAACACTAGCATAAAAATAGACATATAGGCCAATAGAATGGAATAAAGAACCTAGAAATAAACCCACACATGTATGGTCAACCGATCTTCAAAAAGAATGCAAGAATACCCAATAGGGCTGGGAAAACTGAATATCCACATGTAAAAGTGTGAAGCTGGACCCTTACCTTACACCACAGACAAAAATCAATTCAACATGGATTAAAGGCTTAGCTGCTAAGACCTGAAGCTATGAAACCTCTGGAAGGAAATACAGGGGGAAAGCCTCCTGGCGTTGGTCTAGGCAATGATTTCATGGGCACAACACCGCAGGCACAAGCAACTAAAGCAAAAAAAGACAAGTTGGGGCCGGGGCGGTGGCTCACATCTGTCACCTTAGCACTTTGGGAGGCCAAGACAAGAGGATCACTTGAGCCCAGGACTTCGAGATCAACCTGAGCAGCATAGCAAGACCATATCTCTACAAAAAAATTTCTAAAATTAGCCAGACACGGTGACATGCGCCTGTAGTCCCAGCTACTCAGGAGCCTGAGGCAGGATCGCCTGAGCTCAGGAGGTTGAGGCTGTGGTTAGCTGCGATTGTGCGACTGCACTCCAGCCTGGGTGGCAGAGTGAGATCCTGACTCAAAAAACAAAAGGAAATAAACACGTTGTTCTACATAAAACTAAACCTTCTGCACTACAAAGGGAATAATCCCCAGAGTGAAGAAGCAATCTGCAGATAGGAAAGACATTTGCAAACATGTATCTGATGAGTCTAGTATCCAAAAGATAAAAGAACCCCCCCAATTCAGTACCGCCCCAAAAAACTCCACAAATAATACAGTTTATTTTTCATTTATTTATATATATTTTTTGAGTCAGAGTTTCACTCTATCGCCCAGGCTGGAGTGCAGTGGCACACTCACGGCCACCCCAGTGTCAACCTGCTGGGCTCTGGTGGTCCTCCCGCCTCAGTCTTCCAAGTAGCTAGAACTACAGGTACGCGCTACCATGTCTGGCTGATTTTTTAATTTATTATAGAGACGAGGTCTCACCTAGTTGCCCAGACAGGTCTCAAACCCAGGGCTCAGACAATCTACTTGCCTCAGCCTCCCAATGTGCTGGGATTACAGGCTGAGTCACCAAGTCCAGCAATACAGTTTAAAAATGGGTGAAGGACTTGAATTTCTCCCAAAAAAGATGTACAGATGACCACCAGGTATATGCAAAGATGCTCACTGTCACTAATCATCAGAGAGGCAAATCCACATCTCAGTGAGACGGCACCTCACCCTGTTGGGATGGCCATTATCAAAGGGACAAGAGGTAAGTGTTGGCAAGGAAGGATAGGGCACCCTTGTGCACTGTGGTGGGAACATCAGTTAGTACAGACACCACAGAAATCGGTGTAGAGGTTCCTTAAAAACCTGAATATAGAACTGCCATACGATCCAGCAACTCCACTCCTGGATACATTCACAAAAGAACTGAAATCAGCCTCTTACGAGATACCTGCACTCCCGTGTCTGCTGCAGCAGCAGTCACACTAGGCAAAATATGGAAACAACCTGAATGCCCATTTTGAAAAATTAAATAGAGAGGAGGTCTCACTATGCTGCCCAGGCTGGCCGCAAGTTCCTGGGCTCAAGTGATCCTCCCCCCTCAGCTTCCCAACAGATGAATGAAGAAATAAAATATGATATATGCATACAAGGGAATACCATTTAGCGTTTAAAAAGGAAGTCTTGCCATATGCAACAGCTTGGGTGAACCGGAAGGATACTGTGCTAAGTGAAATAAGCCAGTCATCGGACAAACACTGCAGGACCCCCCCGCTTACAGGAGGTATCTGGAATAGTCAAACTCACGGAGTCAGGGTGTGGAGGGGTGGCTTCCAGGGACTTGGGGAAGAGAGAAATTGGAGTTGCTATTCCATAGATCAGGAGTTTCAGTCAGGCGAGATGAACATCTTGTAGAGACGTGCTAGGCAACATCGTGCCTAGGTTAGCAGGACTGTGTTGTTTTGTGCACTTAAAAATGTACTGAGGGAGCACATGTTATGTGTTCTCACCACAGTTATAAAATAAGTAGCCAGTCACAGTGGCTCACGCCTGGAAACCCAGCATTTTGGGAGGCCAAGGCTGAAGAATGATGTGAGCCCAGGAGTCTGAGATCAGCCTGGGCAACGTGGTGCAACATCATCTCTAAAAAAAAGTCAAAAGAATTAGCTGGGTGTGGAGGCGCATGCCTATAGTCCCAGCTAATCGAGAGGCTGAGGTAGAAGGATCACCTGAGCCCAGGTTCTGAGGCTGCCATGAGCTGTGACTGGCATGATTATGTCACTGCATTTCAGCCTGGACAACAGAGTGAGACTCAATAAATAAATAAATAAATAAACAAACAAATAATTAGAATAAATTTAAAAGCCCGGCTGCAGTGGCTCATACCTGTAATCCCAGTGCTTTGGGAGGCTGAGGCAGGAGGACTGCTTGAGGGCAGGAGTTCAAGACC